ACATGATACATTTTTTCACCATCTTTGATGAATTGAAAGTTCAAAAGAACAGCATTTATTTGAAATAGACAACTTTTGTAACATGTTACTGTCACTTCTGATCAATTTAATGCAGTCTTGCTAAATAAAAGTATTAATTTAAAAATAAAACTTATTGACCTCAAACTTTAGAAGTGTATTATTAGTCAATAAGACTTCTAGAAGAGTTTTTGTTTCTATTGTCTATTGGCTCCTGCTTTTCAGCTTTAAAAAACTAAGTTCAAATGCTTTAATTATCACAAAATGATGTCTCCAGCTGGGAACTCACCGTTCGGTTTCGAATGTACAAGAACACTTTCTGAGTATGCTGTGGTCCACCAATAATGTCAGGGAAGCATGCAGCTTCCTGTGATGTCATGCGGTCATGTGGGAGTCGGCTCTGGAAGGCGGCCCCCTCTACACCTGAAAAGTCACAACATTAATGACGGAAAGCATTCTGAAATATTTTTAAATGTTTTAAAATTTCTGTAAAAAGGTGTAAAATTGTTATCCAACCTCTTTCCATACCTGATGGTTCCTCAGGTTCACTGTCATTCTCCTCCTCTATTGGTGGGGGTGGTGGAGGAATCACCTGCTTCCTTTCTTTCTCAGCTTTAGCGTTCCTTTCTTCCTCCGAATAATACTCATCCTCCGACAGATTAGCGAGACTCTCGTCCATCTCCCTGTACTCCACCTGCAGCAAGAGGCACAATAAAAGCTTCATTAAAACCTCGTTCTGCTTCCCCTGGGGTGAAACATGACAATTATTCCCTACTCAGACAAAACATTACAATTGTTCTGTTTTTGTATGTGTGTGTAGTAATGGTCTACCCAGTTTTAATTTTATGTTGGATTTTTTTTTAAATGGACAATTACTATATAGTATAGGCAGGGATTGAAATTAACTTTTTCACTCACCAGCCAATTTGGCTACTAAATTTTTAAGTTACCGGCCATTCATAACTTCTACTAGCCAAAAAAAAAAAAAGACAGAAATAAACCGAATCATTTAAGCGGTTGATTCATTCAGAAACGAATCAACATCATGTTGCTCAGAGACGCACAACAGTGCTGTGGCTGTGTTTGGAATATTTTTTTGTTGGCGAAATAGTGCAGAAATAGCACAAAAACAGCCAATATGGTGTCTAAAACGTAAGTCTCTTGATATTAACTTATTGTTTATTGAACTGTTTCAGTATCACAGTATCACATTTGTAACCATGCTGATTTTTAAGAAAAAAACGTCACTCTTCATGTGCTATTAATGAACTTGATATATATATATATATACATTTTCCGCCCCCTTATCCTGAATTATGTGATCATTCTTAATGCATATTAATAGACTGAATCATGCAGTGAAAGAACTCTCTAAATGCGCACACGCACTAAAGCTCGTGTTGGTCTAACTCGAACCAGACTTCATCACGTCGCGTATACGTGCCTCTGTAGGTGTGTTTTGTTTAGTTTTTGCAATATACTCGATAATGTGATGTCTCACGAGTTCAGTATTTGCGCTAAACCTGCGCCGATTTGGCTTGCATGAACTTCCCCAATAAATTAATGAGTGAACAACTTACGAAAAGTAACCCACCAAATTGGCTAGTGATTTGACAGCGTTACCCGCCACAGCTGATTTTTACCCGCATTTGGCGGGTGTTAATTTCAAACCCTGAGTATAGGGCTGCACGATTAATCGAACACGATTAATCGCGATTGTCATGCACATTTTGTCAGTAAAGCCGGTTCTGTGATTAGTAGTAAATCTCAATCACCTGCTTTCAGGTGGAGCAGCATTTACTACACAGAGCCGTAGTTCTCTGACAAGCTATGCAAATTCGCATTCATGATCGCAGACGATATAATCATAGGATTAAGAAATCGACTAAATCGTTTGCAATAATGACAGTGTTTGCGTATCTTCTCAGTGAACTACGGCTGTGTAGTAAATGCTGCTCAATCTGAGAGCACATAAAAATACCACATTTAATAACAACGTTTTTACTCCAGACTCACTTCATGACTCACGTCACGTTGAATCAATGAAAGCAGTTAAATCTTCTGTTTATTCAGCTGCAGCGATTTCCTGGATTTCTTCTTCGGGGGAATATTTGGATTTTCAGCGCGAGAGCGCCCTCTGGCCTACGGATCGAGATTTACTACTGATCACAGAACTGTGCTTCACTGAAAGATACACACGACAATCACAGCTTCTGCCTAATCGCGATTTATTGCCTTTGCGATTTAATTTTGATTAATTGTGCAGCCCTAATATACAGAGCCAACCCTCCCTATACGCAAAGCAAGCTGCGTAGGGCCCCCGAAACACCAGGGGGCCCCCTTGCTCTCAAAGATGAAATACCACATTTAATAACATGTTTTTACTCCAAACTCACTTCATTACGTCAGTCGAGTGTTTGAAATAAATCCTTCTGTGAGATGATGTGGCTTCTTAAACAGAATAATTAAGGCACACAATACTTCATTGTATTCTAAGCAGTGATAAAGGCTATGTCGATTAGCATTTCATTATAGATATACTTTATTATGATGAAAATTATACGAGAGAGACAATCGCAGCTTCTGCCTAATTGCGATTTATTGCCTTTGCGATTTAATTTTGATTAATTGTGCAGCCCTAATATACAGAGCCAACCCTCCCTATACGCAAAGCAAGCTGCGTAGGGCCCCCGAAACACCAGGGGGCCCCCTTGCTCTCAAAGATGATTTAATTTTAGTTTTGTTTTTGAATTTGTGAATTTATGAAAACCACTTGTCATTTCTTTTAATGAGGTGTGCTGTCACACTTTCTATGTAAAAATCAGTCAAATCATGTAATGTTAATGTCATACAATGTCTTACTCGAGACACACACAAAAAAAAAGTTGAAAGCGTACCGAGCTGTGGAAGAGACACCATTTCTCAAGCGGACAAAGGCATTTAATTCATTCATAACTCATCATTCATAACACCCCCGCCTATGCAGTTTTGCGTAGGGCCCCCAGAAGTGTAGGATCGGCTCTGCTAATATAGTATGTATTTAGATGAGTAATTAGAGCGATTTAAAGTTTCAGAGCAATAAAAATGTGCATATTATTTAGTGCCAATAAATTATTTCATGAGTCTCAGTTCGACTCAGCTAAAAATATATGCCTGGCTCAATTATCCCTGTTCAAATAACAGGAAGTTAATATAGATGTTTACCTTTGCTCTCTTACGGCGACTGGTCCTGCGCCCTTCTGCAGAGTCTTGATCAACCCCTCCTGGTCCAGGAGGGTGCAAGAGAGGAGGTCCACCTGGTTCTCCACTTGGAGAGGCTCTCTCTTTCTTTTTCACATCTGCTATACCTGGGCCAGAGGGACCGGCTGGACCAGCCTGAGGAGCAGAAAGGGTTTCAGGAGCACGGTCTCCACCATTACCCCCTGAGGAAGAGGAGGAACCTGGGTCTGACTTCTTACTGGACAGCATTACAGATGAAAGAAGCCTCTCCTAAAATAAAGAAAAAAGAGCTGAATGTAGGTGTACAAACAAAAGGTGACCGGAACATAGACAATACAACATGCTCTCTATATATACACATCTACATAAATATTAATAATGAACATCTCAGATTCCTTCCACAGTTTGGTCCTATACCTATCATAATGAATGTACTGTTTTCTATCACAGAAAACATGAACCAATGGCTGTAAATGCTCAAAACAACATGAGGTCTGCAGAAGTTTAACGTCGCATTTGTGCACCTGCTCTGAACAAACAGGCATTGCTCGAAAGACACAAGCTTTCCGGGTATGAGAGGATATTAGAGACGAGGGAAAATATATAAATGGTCACTTTACAGCTTGCTAAACTTACAATATTTTGGCATATTTCTCTGCTCAATAGACCGTGAAAACACCGTTATCACATGATCACAAATTCGGTAGAACTGAACCTATTTAAAAGTGTATTTGAGCCAAACTGACTATTTTAATCAGACACCAAAGCAATAAATAACCGGCTTGAATATAATTTGAACAAGTTTATCTTTGTTAATCGAGCTAACAGATAAACGTTATACCGCACATATTTAGGATCACAACACCAAATCGCAGCTCTAAATATGGGCTAACCTGTTAAAGAACGTATTTTACCAAACGTTTACAAATATTTTGAAACTACGAAGAACTAAGAAAATAACTGGTGCGATCACGCACTGGTTAACGTTAGCTAATATGCTATTGCTAGCGACACGATCCGTTTTCTCTCTGCTTATCAAACTCCAGGAAAACCGCAATTCTTCATTACAGTTTATCCATTCTGATTATGACATTAAGTATTACACATTTATAAATTGTATGCATTAGTCTCATTTGCCGTCTTCTGCTGTGTTTATAAAATATTATTCATATTTACCTCCTCGCGGCTGTGGGGAGTCTAGCACAAAGAAACAGACGCCTGTCCCTACCGGAATCGCTCAACCAATCCGAGTAGACGACGAGGGTTCAGAAGGCGGGATCTAACTTGCCCAGTGTTGTAATTGGGTATAAGGGCGATCGATCAAACGTTTCATAAAGTCAGGTTCATTTTATGCAAATTTGGCATGCAACGTTCACCTGTATGCAAAATTCATGTCATAAATCAATGACATAAAAGGTCCCATGCCCTTAATTGGCTTAACTGAATCAGAGGCTCTCAGAACCCACTAGAGGACCTCGGTAAATTTGCAAGGGAGACACAGATTGTCTCGTCTCGAAGTTATTTACAATAAAGTATATTTACATAATTCATAATACACGCTTTTCTTAGAAACAAGCTATAAAGAGTAAAACGTTTTTTGTTTCTTTTTTAGTTATATTAATGTTAAGTTATATTAATTTAAGTTACATTAATAAATATGAGATTTAGCCAATGAATAGCAAGGTTTAAGACTTGCAAACAATAAATATGTTTTTCTATAATAAACCATCATAACGATCCACCGGACTGAAGTGGAACTGGGAGGAGTCAGGCATGTGACGTAAGCGCGGTGGGCGGTGCGAACGCAAAGCGGAAAAGCTGATGAAGGTAACACAGGTACGGGACTGTGTGAAGGTGTGTCTGCTGTCGATGTACAAATCTTCCCGATGTTATAAAGCAGCCAGGCACCTAATAATACCTACGCCAGACTGAGCGCGCTGATCTTTTTCTAAAGGTGAGTTTTGATCTGTTTATAAAGCTTTAAAGTTTCTTCTCTCAGAGTAAGTGATCGAGATTCATGAAGCTGCGACATCACGCGTTGTAGTTGTAGTTGTAGTTGTAGTGCAGGGCATTCTTACAAACATCCTTTTTTGTCTTTATCATGTTAGCCAACTTTTGAGCTGTTTTTATTACCATGGCTGGAGAGTTGATAGATATTTGCGGGTCCAATAATATTAATTCCATTATTTTAGGTCAAATTTATTAAAACGCTTTTTAATGTATCTAGATTATTTATTTGTTTTTATTGTACAGTTAATAGATATTGTCAGTAGACATGCATCACAGAATAATTGTCATCTTAAGTAATCTTCACCGAATCTCAAATAATGTATTAATCATGCAAAAAATGGCAAACTACATTTTCATGCTTTACTTATCCTGAATACACATACAGTAATTAAACTAGCCTGTATTTTTTTTAAAAATTTCCATAATGTGGCAAAAGTCTTGATTAGAAATTATGCTTAATACATGTAAAAAAAAATTTTTTTTAATTTAATTTATATATTTTTTTGTTTCCTTTTTTGTTTTCATCACACATCACGTGTCATATTTTATCTCAAGCATGCTGTTAACTGTTATTGTTCGGTGGGGTGGAAATGATGCCACAACTGAGGAGTTTTTTTATTTTTATAAATGCATATAAATAATTTTGATGCAATAAATATTAAAATGGTTTATGGTAGTAGTCGATAGTTAGCATTAATTCATCTTTTAATGATGAATTTTCATATTTTAAGATTCAAGATATTGGGACAAAGCTAAAATAAAATCTATACATAAAAAGTTATTTGAAAAGTCATCAATGGTGAAAGCATAGTAAGAAAAAGTTTCTAATGCATCTTTAAAGAACCTTCATATAACAAAAAGTTAAAGGGTCAAATCTGTTCTTTTTAATAAAATATAAACCCCTGGGTTATAAAAGTTCTCACATTTGAAGAAAGATCCAGTGTCTGATGTATTATTTGTTGCATTGCACTCTGATCTCTTTTCCATTGGGCTTTTTAGTATTGTTTATTTTATCTATGAAATTGAGGTGCACACAGTAAGCTTGTCCTTCCATTCAGAGGACATCAGGATGAAGAACGAGGGAGAGGCAACTGAACGGCCTGACAACACGGCATTCACTCAGCAATGGCTCCCGGCATGGCAGCCCATACTGTCCGCTGGCATCGTCATTCCTGGCTTTCTAATCATTGGTTTGGCTTTCATAGGCATTGGAATTGGCCTCTTTCTGACCTCACAGACCATCCAAGTGCTGGAGCTATCACTTTTGATCAATTAAATTCATCCTTGCTGAGTAAAGTATTAATTTCTTTAAAAAGGAACCACATGACCAGCTGAAGCCTTGCTTGATCTTTTTAACCCTCCTGTTATTGACATTTTTGAATGTGGAATCAATTATTTATGGCTGATAATGAATAGAGGATTTCTACAATGGTATTGGTGACCGAAAACACTGAGAACTTTTTTTCAGGTGTCCGTATCCAGTGTTCAAAACGACTGCTAGTGCAACATAAACACACCACTTAATGAGCACTTGTCTCAGTAAAATTCACTTTTTTTTTTAAACATGCAGTAGAAATGTTCATATGCAGCATGAATGAACCATGTTTGTTCCTTAACCACGTCATTTCCAGACTACCCAGTACTGAGTTTTGATGGACGTAAGAAGTTGGTCTTCAGCAACGTGTCTTGGATGGGAGGGAAGAACGACTTCTTGGGCATTGCTTATTTAGTAGTTGGCTCCTTGTGTATGGTCATGTCAGTGGTTATGCTAATAGTTTATGCCAAATTCAAATTCTCAGAGGAGGATGATGCATGATGATGCAAGGTGGCTGTGCTTATAAAGACCACCTCGTACATGCATCTTAAAAACAAGAAAGAAAAAAAATAAGGGGTTCATTAAGATGAGCCAAATGTTGTTTTCAGACAAACATCATGGTCTAGATCAATCATTTTGCATTCACATGCTAGAAAGCTTTAACTTCAGGTCATTTAATTATTTCAAACCAGGAATTATTTGTTTACTAAAAGAACACAGGATATGACATGATTAGGCTAAAAAAAACTATTAGGCTAATATTCTAAGAGTTTGTTCAAATGTCTTAGAATCTGTAGATCAAAATGATTATCAGAGGTCATCATTCAGGGAATGTTACCGGTTTCTTTTATTCTACTTTGACTGTTTCAGGTATAAAATATGAATTAGCAGTTACTTTAGTTTCTGGACATTACAGATCAAACAAAGCTAATAATGGTTTTTACATTTGCTTAAATCTTAGATTTCTTGACTAGTCAAGAAAGGTTTAACAGATATATGGACAGAGACAGTATCAGGTGCCATATCTACCTGTCAGATGCATAGCTTGGTTAAAGCTTTGTGTATGTTTAGTTTAATATATTGAGAATTAAAATGTATTGCTGCTTGTATATTTTCTGTAATAAACTTAAAATGCTGTTTTATAATATTAAATCAGTGTTTTTGTTGTGAGATTTGTTTCAAGCATGAAATATTTTATTTCCAAGAAAGGGAAATGGTGTGCTTTTACAGTGCCATTTTGTACTGGGCAAGTTAAATGTAAGTGATGGGGCGAATCTTGACTTTGTTTGCACGCATCGGTGATATTGATCCCTGTTAGTGAAGCAGATCTTATTTGGGAGCAGTATTCTGTGCAGAGTTTAGCTCTAATTCTGCACTCTGGTTCAGTGTCTTTTGAAGTAAAATGTTTGAAAAGTGAGGATAGAACTGTATTCAGATTAAATCTGCTCATAAATATTGCTTTTAGGACCTGATTTTTAATGTAACCTAAATTAATAAAAGCTATTGTCTGCACATGGGTTTGGCAAGTAAAGATGACATAACCAAGATTTGTGAGAAATTCAAAAGAAGTATTAGTAAATTACTGAAACCCATCACCTTTGTATACTTCATTTAACATTAGGCTGCTCCGGAAAGAACCTATACTATACACTATCCCCCAAAAAAGTTTCATTTTTATTACCGAGCGAGGTAGAGCGGACAGTGAAGAGTCGAATCTTTACTGACTCTTCATTAGTGCACGTCGGTGGTATGGATGCTGGAAGTGAGTGGAGGAAATTTTAGCACAATGGAGTGTATGTACATTTTGGCCCTATGCGCTGGCTGAGTTTGGGATTCAGGCCATTGTGGTTTCTAGGTTGCCTCGTGACTTTGTCTGTTTTTGTGGCAGTCCTCCTGAGATTTTGTGCTGTTTTTATGCACTTATCAAATCTTTAAGAGAGTTGATTTAGTATGCAACTATGTATAGGGTGTTTTCATGATGTACTTTGCTTTACACTCTCTGTTTGTACTGATAATCATGTGCATAAAAATTAATGTCATGCTGTCAATCAGGCCACAGTACAAATGCAGCCACCAAGAATTGTAAATGTGCTTTTGCAAGCAATTCCTTCTGAACCTTCACTATCCTTTGGAATTGGGTTATTTAAAAAAGTATTAATATTACTATATTATTTTAATATAATACATTTAAATATTAAAGAATATAAATATACTGAATGTGTTTGTTATATTTCATATATAAAATGTTATAAATATTTTGAAATGTTAATGTATTCATTATTATTTGAAAATAAGCTATAAAAATAAGTTACTTTATAGATGTGCTATTTTCATATTCTTTTAGTCAGTAGAACTTAAACAAATGCTGCACATTTATAAAGTTGCATTGGAAATTTAACTTTTAGTTATTACTTACCCAGTGGTATATGATGCAATGTTATAAATTGTGTTTTTTGTTTTGTTTCTTTTTCAGACCCAAAGATTATGGCAGTTCAGAGCAGTAAATATTCTGGACAGACAGCTTCGCTTCGGGGCTTAAAATTGTTTCATATTTGTCAACTTTGGCTGTTTCTCCCAAGGTTTCTTTCTGGCACTTCTAGACTTTTTATTGCGGTGACCTTGTGCTTGGTTACCGGGGGCTTAGGGTTGACACCCTAAGCTGCTTTGAGGAAATCTCTATTGTTGAAAACCAATTTACAAGTTGAAATCTTTAATTAGAAAATGCGTTTCTGTTATGTGCGTTTGTCTCTCGTTCACACTGCTTTTAATCTACTACGTGACTGATATTTATCTTCCACTCTGATGCTGCCTTTCTTTTTCTATAGTGTCCCTCAATAAGTGTGTTATGATAACATCGGTAATGACTTCAGCTCTACAAGTATTTTTCTGAACAAAACAGGGAAGGCCAAAGGTTTTCATTGTCTGAACCTTTATTTGAGCATTACAGCTTCACACACTCAACAAGGCACTGATATTTACCTTTAAGGACCTTTTAGGTACAAAAGGTGTACCTTTTGGAAAAGTACTGCCCCTGTGACAGCTTTTGTACCTTTTTTTCTGAGTGTGCAGGAGAAAATGTTACTCTTGCAAAAGCTCAGGCATTGTAAAGAAGGTCTCGAGATTTTCTCCTTAAAGTGGTCATATGATGCGATTTCAATTTTTCCTTTCTCTTTGAAGTGTTACAAGCTCTTGGTGCATAAAGAAGATCTGTAAAGTTGCAAAGACTAAAGTCTCAAATCCAAAGAGATATTCTTTATAAAAGTTAAGAGTCAACCACACCTACCTAAAATGGCTCGTTCTAACACATCCCCACATGTCTACGTCACGATATGGGAAGATTTGCATAACACCGCCCAAATGTTCACGCAAAGAAAGAAGGCGTAACTTTTATTCTCGCTGAAGTATTGTTGCTGCCGCCATGTCGTGAAGACGCTGTGTGTTTCGTTGCGAAAGCGAAACTACTTTGTTTGGCCTTCCAAAAGAGGACGATATCCGCTTCGTCATGCCTGGAGCTGATCCGTGCTGGTTGCTGAGGAAATACATCAACTTCGTGCTGTGGATCGCTGGATCGGCTTTCACCGTGGACGAAGCGGAGTCTTGCCCCAGGGGTCCTCACATGTGGCTCACTCAAGCCCGCCGGCCGCCACTCACTCAAGCCCGCCGTGTGTGATGCTGTGTGTTTTGTTGTGAAAGCGAAACTACTTTGTTTGGCCTTCCAAAAGAGGACACGACTAGAAATCAGTGGTTAAGTTGTATTTACAACACTGTTCCAGAACAGTTCAACCCAAATATTCAGATGTGTGCAGCACATTTTATGGAGGACTGTTTCCTGATCCTGGTAAAGTAGACTGCAATTCTGGCTGTTCTGACTCACAACCTGTAAGTACGTTTACTTATTTAAAGGATTTGTCACTGACGATTCAAACGCGAGTTTTGAGCAGTGTAGAGTAACGCTTGTTGTTTGTCATTTCTCCCATCACAAATGCAGATATGGTTTTATGCACGATGCAACGTGTAAAAAGACAGTATAAGTCATTATAATCCGTAATTATGTCCCCACTGATGCAACAAATGCCTAGTTTATAATGGGTTTTAATGTTTTGGGCTCGTCGCTCCGGCCGGACAGGGCATCACAGTATGGAAGGGGTGAGAAATTTCCGTCACACACTTGAGGTATTTGGCCAATCACAACACACTGGATAGCTGGCCAATCAGAGCACACCTCGCTTTTCAGACTGATGAGCTTTGTAAAAATTGACGTGTTTCAGAAAGGCGGGGCATAGAGGAGAAACAATAATGTACAGTATGTGGAAAATAATGTGTTTTTTGAACCTTAAACTGCATAAACACATTTCATTACACCAAATACACCAAATAATGTTCTTTTTAGCAACATCATATGACCCGTTTAAAGTTTTTTTTTTTTAGCATGGTTTTCAATCTATGCACACATGCATATAACATGTCAAGAGTTTTAGCAAAAGGGTAGATTTTCAGTGAATATTGATGGGCCATTCTAACCCGATCTCATGAAAGTGCGTAGAAATAGTACGCCAAATAAAAACAAAAACTTGTGGTATTGATATGCAAAAATGGACTTTGACGTGTATATGCTACGCAATGGGTAGGATTAGGGTTGTGGGGTAGATGTGAATCATATGTACGCAAAAACTACGTATCATATGCACACCAACAAATTTCTAATCATATGTACACGAAAACTGCGCATTATAGGCCTATGCATGCCAAACATGTGCATATCATATGCACGCCAAAGTCAATTTTTGCGTATCAATACCACGAGTTTTTGTTTTTATTTGGCGAACTATTTATACGCATTTTCATGAGACCAGGCTCGCCATTCCTCACAAAGCTGCCTTATAGCTTCAAATAGTCATACAGACAATTT